ACAATTATACCATTACCACTAGTAAATAGACCGTTGCACCATTATTACTAGTCAATATACAGTTGTACCATTATCACTAGTAAATAGACCGTTGCACCATTATCACTAGTCGATAGACAGATGCACCATTATCACTAGTCAATAAACAGTTGCACCATTATTACTAGTCAATAGACAGTTGCACCATTATCACTAGTAAATAGAGAGTTACACCATTATCACTAGTAAATAGACAGTTGCACCATTATCACCAGTCAATAGACAGTTGTACCATTATCACTAGTCAATAAACAGTTGCACCATTATTACTAGTCAATAGACAGTTGCACCATTATCACTAGTCAATAGACAGTTGCACCATTATAGGTGGTCAATATACAGTTGCACCATTATCACTAGTCAATATACAGCTGCACCATTATCACAAGTAAATGGACAGTTGTACCATTATCACTAGTCAATAGACAGTTACACCATTATCACTAGTAAATAGACAGTAACACCATTATCACTAGTCAATAGACAGTTGCACCATTATCACTAGTAAATAGACAGTAACACCATTATCACTAGTAAATAGACAGTTGCACCATTATCACTAGTAAATAGACAGTTGTACCATTATCACTAGTCAATAGACAGTTACACCATTATCACTAGTAAATAGACAATTATACCATTACCACTAGTAAATAGACAGTTGCACCATTATTACTAGTCAATAGACAGTTGTACCATTATCACTAGTCAATAGACAGTTGCACCATTATCACTAGTCAATAAACAGTTGCACCATTATTACTAGTCAATAGACAGATGCACCATTATCACTAGTCAATAAACAGTTGCACCATTATTACTAGTAAATAGACAGTTGCACCATTATCAATAGTCAATAGACAGTTGTACCATTATCACTAGGCAATAGACAGTTGTACCATTATCACTAGTCAATAAACAGTTGCACCATTATCACTAATCAATAGACAGTTGTACCATTATCACTAGTCAATAGACAGTTGCACCATTATCACTAGTCAATAGACAGTTGTACCATTATCACTAGTCAATAGACAGTTGTACCATTATCACTAGTAAATAGACAGTTGTACCATTATCACTAGTCAATAGACAGTTGCACCATGATCACTAGTCAATAGACAGTTGAACCATTATCACTAGTAAATAGAAAGTTGCACCATTATCACTAGTAGATAGACAGTTGCACCATTATCACTAGTAAATAGACAGTTGTACCATTATCACTAGTAAATATACAGTTACACCATTATCACTAGTCAATAGACAGTTGCACCATTATCACTAGTGAATAGACAGTTGTACCATTATCACTAGTAAATATACAGTTACACCATTATCACTAGTCAATAGACATTAACACCATTATCACTAGTAAATAGACAGTTACACCATTATCACTAGTAAATAGAGAGTTGCACCATTATCACTAGTAAATAGACAGTTGCACCATGATCACTAGTAAATAGACAGTTGTACCATTATCACTAGTCAATTTACAGTTGTACCATTATCACTAGTCAATAGACAGTTGTACCATTATCACTAGTAAATAGACAGGTGTACCATTACCACTAGTAAATAGACAGTTGCACCAAACATGGGTGGTTAATACACAGTTGCACCATGGCTATTTGGCAAAGGGTATGTATAACTAGTTTTTTCTTACAAATGCTCGCATGAGAAACTTGTATTTTTTATCCGAACAGTGCTCTCATTAATAGAAAGTTGTTCGCCATATACACATTTACCTTGTTGGACAAGGTTACCCATCACCCTGGACACTTCCTTCATTACCGCAGTACCACTTGACGGGTCCATGGCGCCAAACACCCATGCGTCTCTATGGTTACCGATGAGCACGTACCGGTCTGTCAAACATCGTAGAAAAACAATGGCGTAAAGTTTCATTATTATCATACTTATTGTTTCCAGTCTTGCCCGGTTCCCTCACTCCGCTTATGATCATCTTACGCGGTTCTATAATTCATTGAATGATTTACGCTTTACTTTTCTTACCTGGTTCGGAAGTAGTAATTGAGGAGTAGTTACATCTATCTTACCCGGTTCTATAGCTCCTCGTATGATTCCAAAGGCATTATAGGTCCTCCTTATGGCGTTTTTAGTTGAAATGAACATTCTGATTTTCCTATAGAGAAATACACATCATACAAACTTGTGAGTGTAATTTTGACCGACTTCAACATTTCTTACTCATGTATCACTGGGCAAACTCAACTACGACACTCCAAGTGCTACAATAAATACAACTAGGTTTCTAGATAACACAGAACAGGTTTTCGAAGAAAAGAAACATACTGTATTCACGTACTCTACGATGGGACATCGTATATATAATCTGTCCGACCTGATTTTCAAAAGCTTTTTTTAAATATTTAGTTTGCATTTTTCAGATATATATGGTTAGATAAGCAAGCATCACTTTTGAAAAAAAATGGATGAAGCGTCCCAGGAGTCAGTCTTACTTGAGAGGAGAAGACTTCAGTTTTGTCTGAATTTCAAATAGTGTCCCCTTTCTTAGCCCAGATAGTAGCTTGACGTTAGAAATCAAGTCTTCCCAACTATTATTTACGCTCCAGATAAAAAAAATGACCCTTAAACTGACATTTTTAAAACCCAGTCATTTCTAATGAGGTCGACGTCACCTACAGAAGAGAGACTTAATGAATAAAGCTGACGTAATGCCGAAAGATCTATATATAGATGTGCAAGAATTTATTCGTGAAGCTTTTCGTCTGTCGGTGAAGTCGACGGTAAACAACCAAGTGTCTCGAAAGCGAATCCTAAATATCCAGCTATAGAAACTAACTGCGCTAACACAGGACTTACCAGCCGGTTGTATTGAGCAGTCCCCCGAGTCGGTAGGTAATATTCAATGCCCCTCTCCAGTCGGCCGGTACCTCCTCCCCAGCCATAGCACTGTAATAGAATATCCGTTCAGCTTAATTATCAAATATCAATAAAAAGTAAATGTACTCGAAGTGCCTTATTTTAAAGGATGAATTAAAAAGAAATTCCGATAATATTTTCAAGCAAATCATTCGACTACTACAAGAGCCCATATAACGATATAACAGTTGCTATATTTTTCCTGAGTAATGCTGTCCTATACCTTACCATATAGTATGGTTTGGGATTGTGGGAAACTATAACACTGTTTACCTGTTACTATTCTGGCCTGTACCGTACCCAAAGAGGTTGGCGGTGATGGTCCAACTCATCCGATTTCCTGTTGCGCAGGAAGCGGGAAAGTTAGTCTTAAATCCGAGGAAATATTTATAAGGAAACATATGGACTGAGAATCCATTTGGCACATACTATGTGCGACACAGTGAAGAAACATCAGGATCACGGCCAGAAGACAGACCACAGTACCGAGAACCTCTAAACCTCTATATATATTGCGATAGCAATCGGAATCTGGTCGAGGACCATCAAACGCTATGCCAACGCAATCTTTCGCAGCATTAAAATAGGCAAGACGAAGTAGCCAGCGTTCGATAGCACGGAGTGAGAATAATAAGAAGTAGAGCAATAAAATAATATCAAAGCAATGACAAGGTTAGTGTGTATAGCTTTCGGAGAGAATGGTATTGAGAATCTCAGGCGAAATTCCCGGCAATGGAACGTGAATCGGAGTGAGGACGCAACAGGAGTGAGATCGAGATCAAATATAATCAGAAGGAGCTAAACACTCTGTGAAGCAGTCCTTTTTTTGGCGTGTACAGAAAATGAGAAAAGGGGACGAAGTCAATAACTCTGGGGTCATTGGAGACGTCCTAAAAGGGATGTACTGAGACAGCTGTGACAGAAGATTGACGTGCACGAACAGATGAAGGCAATGAGAGGAAACGATGAGAAACAAATCACTCGACTTTTACCTAACAAAATAATATAATTGGGGGAACCGCCAATCGACTAAAGTGATATAATGGAACCGACATGTACAGAAGTGAGAGAAGTGCTGAAATGCCAAAGGCAATATCGACACACAAAGACCAAATAGTCTCTCGTGACAACTGTATGAGGGATGTCCAAGTATCGACACACAAGAACCAAATAGTCTATCGTGACAACTGTGTGAGGGATGTCCAAATATCGACACACAAGGACCAAATAGTACCTCGTGACAACAGTGTGAGGGATGTCCAAGTATCGACACACAAGGACCAAATATTCTCTCGTGACAACTGTGTGAGGGATGTCCAAGTATCGACACACAAGGACCAAATAGTCTCTCGTGACAACTGTGTGAGGGATGTCCAAATATCGACACACAAGGACCAAATAGTCTCTCGACAACTGTGTGAGGGATGTCCAAGTATCGACACACAAGAACCAAATAGTCTCTCGTGACAACTGTGTGAGGGATGTCCAAATATCGACACACAAGGACCAAATAGTATCTCGTGACAACAGTGTGAGGGATGTCCAAGTATCGACACACAAGGACCAAATAGTCTCTCGTGTCAACTGTGTGAGGGATGTCCAAGTATCGATACACAAGGACCAAATAGTCTTTTGTAGCAACTGTGTGAGGGATGTCCAAATATCGACACACTAGGACCAAATAGTCTCTCGTGACAACTGTGTGAGGGATGTCCAAGATTGTTCTCAAGGGAATTATAAGAAAACTGAAATGGGGTTTGTGGGTCCATGGAACCGAAAAGCATTTTAGCTACTTAGGGGAATGAGGAAAGTCCCTCCTGGGTTCAATAACGCCAGAATCTGATGGTTGTCTGGATGATTTCATTGTGTTTGCAGGCAGCGTATGACTGCTTTGTGACAAAGGAGGGAAACTCCGAAATATTATTGACAGTTGTGATGTTGCATCGGAAATATTCGTAAAACATAGTCGAACATTTTTTGAGAGAGTTTATACGAAGCCAGTTTTGAGCGATGCATCTACGATCGTAGGTAAAGGACTATGCGACCTTACCTAAATGAGACAGTATACAATTTCTGTTTCGTGATGAACATTGATATCGAAGAGGGAAAAGGAGACGGGAAATTTACTACCAGTTCTAAGCAAACAATATGGATATTTAATGGATTGGAGGATATGAATACCTTGGAGGACGTTCGAACCAAATAAATATAGATACCTCACTCTTAAAGACTGTATGAAAGAACAGTTCTTTTTGCTGATACTGGGTGAAAATAGTCCGGCCAATTTCGGAAAACCAAAAAATAGTTTTGGGAAAGGGCTTGGCGACAGTCTTATGAATACTATCAACGGTGTCAGACTGGAGCGGCATGTATACGAGAGCCACCGTCAGGAAAGTGTAAAGCTTTGATGTTCCAACATGGGTTACTTCTGCTACTAATTTAACCAAATATGCTGAATGATATTGCACTGATAATTGTAAAGGATATAGAGAAGAAAATCAACAAGTTCTTCAAAAAAAGGGCATCGAATTTCCCAGTTCTACTCATAAATAAGAAAACCAAATGAAATAACAAGTGGTAGAGACCGTGTGAGTTGGGAGGCCGGGACAGTGTACAGTGCAAACACGGAGGTTAAGAGATGCTAATGCAGCCGAGGGGAGGAAATTAGTGCAAGAGGACATCCATTCGGAGGAAAATAGGAAACAAATAATCAGGTGAAAGCAGCGGATATGTGAAGCCAAGGAACATTGAACAGATTCGGCATGTTATCACTGTGAGAGACCAGAATGTCTAATGTCTACTATCATGGCGTCCTGCCAAGTAGCACTGGTACATAGACGGCATACACGGAAACGAAACGTTATAACCTACCTGAGTAGTTGCTGTCCTATACAGTACCCTACAGGGTGGGCGGGGATGGTGGGTCACTATAACAGTGCTATAACTTACATGAACCTGAGTAAGTTCTGTCCTATACCGTACCCTACAGGGTGGACGGAGATGGTGGGTTACTATAACAGTGTTATAACTTGCCTGAGTAGGTTCTGTCCTATACCGTACCCTACAGGGTGGGTGGGGATGGTGGGTAACTATAACAGTGTTATAACTTACCTGAGCAGGTTCTGTCATATACCGTACCCTACAGGGTTGGCGGGGATGGTGGGTAACTATAACAGTGTTATAACTTACCTGAGTAGGTTCTGTCCTATACCGTACCCTACAGGGTGGGTGGGGATGGTGGGTAACTATAACAGTGTTATAACTTACCTGAGCAGGTTCTGTCCTATACCGTACCCTACAGGGTGGGTGGGGATGGTGGGTTACTATAACAGTGTTATAACTTACCTGAGTAGGTTCTGTCCTATACCGTACCCTACAGGGTGGGTGGGGATGGTGGGTAACTATAACAGTGTTATAACTTACCTGAGCAGGTTCTGTCCTATACAATACCCTTCAGGGTGGGCGGGGATGGTGGGTTACTATAACAGTGTTATAACTTACCTGAGTAGGTTCTGTCCTATACCGTACCCTAAGGGGTGGATGGGGATGGTGGGTTACTATAACAGTGTTATAACTTACCTGAGTAGCTTCTGTCCTATACCGTACCTACAGGGTGGGTGGGGATGGTGGGTAACTATAACAGTGTTATAACTTCCCTGAGTAGGTTCTGTCCTATACCGTTCCCTACAGGGTTGGTGGGGATGGTGCGTAACTATAACAGTGTTATAACTTACCTGAGCAGGTTCTGTCCTATACCGTACCCTACAGGGTTGGTGGGGATGGTGGGTAACTATAACAGTGTTATAACTTACCTGAGTAGGTTCTGTCCTATAC